AAAAACACTATCGTTTCACTATAAGAAGAAGTGTTTTGTTTCTGACAAATATACTGAAGAGGCCATTCCCATAGTACGGAAATTGAATGACTAGTCTTTTTAGCCGGTGGCCAGCAAATAAGCAGAATGAACAACGAGCGGAAAAACAGAAAAACATTATATTTTATAAGCTAATCGGTAAATTAAACGTAAGAACTCTCAATATTACCAAAGAAAATATTATTTTACGCATAACTTCAGTAACCTAACATTTTTTTAAAAATCAATTATTAACTTAAGCGGAAAACGGAAAAACATTATATTTTATAAGCTAATCGGTAAGTTAAACCTAAGAACTCTCAATATTACCAAAGAAAATATTATTTTACGCACAAATTCAGTAACCTAACATTTAAAAAAAATCAATTGTTAACTTAATGTTCAATTCATGAATAATTAATTCATTTACGTGTTACTATTGGAGATTCTGATAATTGTTTAATCAATGAATTATAGTAGATGAATTAATTATACATGAAATGAACAATTTCATTAAATTAATATTTGATTTTTAAAAATTTTAGATTACTGAAGTTATGCATAAAATAATCTTTTCTTTGGTAATATTGACAATTCTTATATTTAATTAACTGAGTAGCTCATAGAAAATAATGTTTTTCTGCCTCGTGGATCATTCTGCAAAGTTCCACGGCGTTCTCGCATTGAGATTTCAAGGTAGTAAATTTTACAGTGAATTGAATCTACATTGCAAACAATTTATTGTAATTAGCCCGTATAAACTAATTAAACTCAATCAATTTCAGTCTTTCCGCTCTTGGACCCATTCTGCACTTGGGCCATTCTGCTTACTGCTCCACCTCCTTTTTAGCCATTTGTTCATTGTTAAATGAAATAGTTGGCTAAAAATCTTAATTAGTTTTGTTAGGCTCATTTACAAAACACAAACAAATAAGTTTCCAACCCTTGCGTAAACTTGCTAATCATAATTTCCATAATATTGAAAATGTAACTGACAGAAAAAATCTATATAAAAAATACATGCAAAAATAAATTCTTAAGTGCAAAAGGTTGTCCCGATAACCCAAAACTTAACATTTTTCAGTCTTTCTTAACAAAATTTAGACGAAGGCGAAGCTCCGCTTCGCAAACATTAGCAAGAACACGACAAAAAAGCAGCTCTAAAATTTTCAAGAACGCAATAAAAAAAACTATTAGTTGAAAATATTTCAAAAAATGCAGAAAACAATTTGCAGCAAATTTTTGAAAATTTTATTTTGTACGTTTATCACAGTATGAACATTATTTCCCATTTCAGGATAGTCGAATAACATATTATGTGAGCATTCTTGAAATAATATGCCTAATATACTCAAATATTTTAAATAATCAAGATCTTTGTCACTGCTCTTTAGTTACGAACACAACCCACCTTCAACAGAAACCAGGATAGCCAGTTGCTGTGCAAGTAACAAAAAATGTTTCAACTATTTTGACATAGCAAAAAAGTTCGAAATTAACAACATTCTAAAAATCAAAAAAATGTATACATAAACATATTTCTGCAATTTTTGTTGTCTCGATTTCCTGTTTCTTTATTTTCCAAAAGCAGCGATTGACTTACGTGAAAAAAAAATCGGAAAATGAAACATATATAAAAACCATGAGTAAGAATATTGAGTAAACATTTTAAAAGAATTAAAATTGGAAGGTCAGCCTCTCAGCAAATTTTGTCGAACTTAATTTAAAAACCGAAGAAATTGAGACCAGTTTTTTTCGACACAGAGGGGCTCTTTTTTAAATTATTTTCAAGGCCACCGAACAATAATAATCACGGCCACTAGGTTTTAAATATGATACTACATCTGATCCTCTGTGAAATTTCCTTGAAAAATTCAAAATTAACAGGAAAAAAATACAAAAACGGACCGCAATCTTCAGTTCCTTTCCGCTCTTCGAGAATTGTCAAAACAAACAAAGAACAGCAAACAACACTTTTGGTGAAACAATTCCATATTTTGAACGGTTGCTATTCATCATGTTTTCAGCAATTTTCTGAACAAATGAAAAAATCACAACAAAAAACTGTCATATGATTAGCATTTGTCGAAACTTGTTGTCAACACGAGATAGACGATTTTTTGACAAGCTGAAGTTTGACATCGACAAATTTAAGCAAAAAAAATTGTTTTCAAAAATAAATTGAAATTTGAATACAAAAAAAAACAAACGGCGCTAGAAAAATTGTTTTTGCAAGTTTGGTATTGTTTTACCAAAAAACTGTCAAGTAAACCGCTGAGTTAGTTGGATTGATTATTTTCATCATTGCAGATACCTAAAATGAAAAAACTAGGAGAGTTCGTAGGGGTGAATTAGTATTATATTATAGCCATTACAGCTGAACTTGGATTTTTGATATCAATTTTCTGCTATCTTAAAACTTTTTCATTGCCAAGAAAAACTGTGCCTTTCAAACTAAATCAGGCAATTTGATCAGAGAGTGAGCTCAAATTTTTATGCTGCTACAAGTTCAGCGTTAATTTAGCTATTGAAACCATTTTTTGCGTTTTTTCGGCTGATTGGAGTGTCCTCACTAGAAAGGAAACAGTGTTTTTTGACAGCAAAAAAATGAACACAAAATTTTGCCTAGAAAAAATGTTTTCTTAATTTTTTCTTAAATACCGTTCTTAATTACCGAATGTTCGAAACTGTGCTACTTTTATATCATATCTTTGGCAACGTTCTTCTTACCGCTCAACTATAATTTCAAACAGGGGCATATTTAGGGGGGAGGGGGTGAAGTAGGCGCCCCCCCCCCCCCCTACCCTCAGGGATTCGATCCCCAGCCGACCCAAAGCTGCATTTCGCAAACATAATCTATTAAAAGGACAAAAACTTTGCAATTGAAAAGAAATAAACAAAAATGAAATTTTAGAATGAAACTTTGTCTTTTTTATATCCAATAAACTCATTTTTCGAGCTGTTAGACAACACCACTCGCTCCCCGTCAAAATTAGGATATATAGACAAAGGTTAGCTTCGGTCATCAAAAACTAGATGTTCTAAAACAGTATCCAGAGGAGATCCATGAGCAGCAACTTGATTTAAATCAATGATTTCAATCGGATTTTAATCGTAGAATAAAAAACAAAAAAATCAACCCTTGTGTTATCCTGCCGAGTGCCGCTGTAAACATACAACGCAGCTTGCAGTATTTACATTGGTTACGTACTTAGCTCTTCATAGCATACTTTTAACTGGAAAAATTTTTTCAGCACTTTTGGATTTATCCATTCCAGTCTCAGAAATTGTCTGGGAATAGAAAAATATGGTTAACTTGTGTTATTCTTTCGGATGCTGAATCAGTAATTTTGCGTAAATTAATTGATTCTTGAAACAAAAATGTTTGCAATAAAAATAAAAAAAATCAAGGTAAAATCATAAAAATTGGATTTAAATCAATCGAGAATATACATCAGATTTTTATGCAACCTTGCCCATGAGTGTTCAGGAATGTCGAATTTTTAAGATCTCAAATCCCCACCTAAACTAGCTTCTGATTTGAACCATCGTGTTCCGGCTTCACTCGAAAACTTTATGAATACGCAACTTCAGAACATTTTTGTTCCAACAAACCCCGTCGGGGTGGGAAGGAACTAGGCCGTAAGGTCTGCTTTTTTCAGACACTTTTGACTACTATAAAGAACTCACCTCGCATGATGCCAAGTTTATAATTATATCAAATCAATGGCGTGCGCAGAAATTTTTCAAGGGGGGGGGGCGGTTTTTGAAAAGTTTTGAAAAATTTGATAACCAAATCCATTTCAGTTTTGGATTCTAATAAAACTATATGAAAACAATTAATCCAGGATATTATATTAAAAAAATTATTACGTGCTGCGAATTTTTTCGTATCGCATACTTAAATGGACAAAAACTGACAGGAATTTGATTAAAGGCTGGAAAAAAAGAAAGACGGTTGCCATCAATTTTGGTTGCCAAACGACGAAAAAAGGCAATTTGAGGTCAAATCCAAAAGAGCTTACACAGTATTTTATTCCACAATTTCTAGTAAAAAAAGCACCAAACAATGCTCAAAAACAACAATTTCTTCCAAAAAATCTCGCATATGGTCGTTCTAGGGCTTCCGCAGTATTCGAAAGGTTCAAAATGGTTTAAAAAAACTTCTACGACCAAGCGCTCCGTCTTTCAACTGTTAAATAATTTTACCTCTCGTTGATGGGCGCACAGTTTGCACACGTGCAGCGTGATCGTGCTAGATGAAAATGCACTGGACATCATAGAGGCCGGAGATATTCGTGAATTGCCGGGCGACAACAGCGAGCCCCCACCTGACCCCAGACCACCCCCTCCCCCATGACTAGAGCTGCCCCCTGAGGCCGCAGTGGGAGAGAGGAGGGCATTGTTGTTCCCTGATGGACTGTTATCATTTGTGTGGGGTGGTACTTTAGGCATCACTACTTTGACTATACAGCGGGAACACGCTCTCTGAAACATTTCCACATTACGAAAACATTCCATAACAGGACAATTCATAACAAAAGACAACTTGTCAAACTAGGCAACATGCAGAAAGCTATTCGATGTGGATAGATGGATGAAGCGGACTCCTCTTCTGCCCTGGAAAAAGAACTTTTTTCGATTTTACCCCTGTCAAATTTTGGCTGTTTTCGATCTTCAAATTTTTTTAAAATAAAAGTATTTGCTCGAGCGTAAGGCTAATTTTAAAGGCGCTCAAATAGAAAAAATGGCCGAAAAATACTAAGATTTGCTCTACAAAACAATGTTCAAAAATAATAAAAACACGATGTTTTTTGTGCAGACGTCTTCTTTCAGGGATTCGACCCGCTGCCGACCAAAACATTCCCCCTTTGTACTATTTTGAGGTATCCATTTTTGGATGACGGACCCTAAATTTTTTTAAAGGCGCTGTCGGCGCCAAAATATGCTTAATTTTGAGGGGGGAGCGCGTGCCAAAAAAAACGCGGTTTTTTTGGTCAAAATTTTCCAAAAATGCTTAAATACGCTTTATGGTTTTTTTTCAAAAATTCGCCTGCGGCACAGAAAATTGGGTGAAAATAGGTTCTTTATATTGATCTGGTAGACTTTAGAAAAATCAAATTGTTCGACCTAAAAAAAAGGTCTACAAAACTTTCGAAGTGTTTTTGAAAATCCCCCCCCCCCCCCTCGAGAAAATCCTAGATCCGCCCCAGCTTGCAATCATAATTGCAATCATAAAAAATTGCAGCCATAACTTTCATGATTATTATATACTCGTTTGCAAATGTGTAGATTGGGAGGACGCCACTAGGCTATAAGAGCCTGTTTTCCGACGCTTTAAAAATAATATTTTTGGTACCTTATGGCAATCGGAGCAAACTGATCCCCGGTTGAACACAGACCCACCACCGCCCGCGCTATTTCTACCCGAATCGACCGAGCTGAACAGCACCGAAGTGAGCTGGTTGAAACTCTGCGACATCAGATCTGCCGCACTTTTGTCCAATTCGGCCCCACAAAAACCACATTCGTTGCTATTCGGAACTGCTGCATAAACGTTCAAATTTAGGCTCCAGGTTGCATTATATTTTTGCGTCAATTATTTAGTCTTTCAAGATAAATGAAAAAGCAATTTTGAAGGATCTTTTTATTTCCCGACTTTTTTCGTAAACGATTCAAGCCTACTTCAGGTATAAATTTATATACATTATATTTTAATTATATTTAAATTAATTATGTTTAAGTTATTGCGATTTTAAGAGAACCTATCAAACTCTCCTAAGCCTGTCCCAGGATAAGTTGTTTCTATCATCTTATATAATAAACGGTCCCCGCATTGGAGCTCCATGAATAAAAATCGATTATAATTGAATTTCCTTGTCGGTGTCCACAAAAGTGAAAAAATCTATTATAACCACCAGCGGATTTAGGAGGGGGGTGGTGGGCGGACGCCCTCTCTTGCGGATTTGACTCCCTGCCGACCCAAAGAGTCCCCCTTTAGACTATTTTGAGATATCCATTTTTGGTAACGGACCTTAAAATTTTTCTAAAAGCGCCTTTGGCCCCAATATATGGTAGTTTTGAGGGGGGAGCCCGCATCAAAAAACGCGATTTTTTGTCTAACTTTTCCAAACGCCTTTATGGCCTGTTTTTTCAGAAAAAAGGTCGACAAAATTTTCGAAATTTTTTGAAAATCCAGCCCCTTCCCTCCAGAAAAACCTAGATCCGCCACTGATCATAATCAATTAAAAACGGATTATAATTAATTTTCGAGGCAACAAGACCCATTTTTAATCCATTATAATCGATAGTTTTTTAGTTTTTGTGGACACTGGCAATAAAACTCAATTATAATTGATCTTTTTTTTTCACTATATTGAGATGCGAATTTAAACGCACATAGTCTTTTCCACGTTTTAAACTTAAGTTGGTTACTTGTTGTTAAATTTGATTTACTGTTTTTGATCGACTTGTTTTCACTTTTCTTAAATGTGGGTCTCCTTTTCATACTCAAAATTTGCCCTTAAAAAATTTCAACGAACACTTAAAAGAGCTACATGCACTATATTAACTTCTTCTTTCTTAACTGAGCCCAAGTTTTTTCCATGCCTGCAGGCGTAATTCTAGTCTGCACTTCGCATATTGTCGGCGACTGTTGTTGATGTTCAACCAGGTCCTGCAGGGACTCGGTATCCGAGAGGATTGAGGCCACGGAACCGGACGCCAATTTAGTTCCGACAAGAGATGGCGATGATGGCGAGCGAAATTGATCGTTGGTAGTATTGATTGGCAATTGGAAAGAGAAGCTTTTGTTGTTGTTTTTATTGCTGTTTTTGTTGAAGTACGTTGGCGATGGCGAGATGACAGTTTGGTCCTTCATGTATTGCAATTGTGTGATCATCTTGCTAAAAAGTTTAAAACACTGATTAAATGATGGAGCCTGTAAAAGTTTAACTTCCGTTCAAATAATGATCGAAACAACTATTGGTTAATTAAAGTTATAACTAGAACTATAAGCATCAATGAACCCAATCAGTTGAGATTTTTAAACATACATTTAAGATGTTAGAAAATTGATTTGGAAACTTCTATGATTTGAAAAGCAAACTTCAAAATATTTTCCACTCTTCTCGCCTTTCGAGCTTGAGTCAGTACACACTTCGAATGTAGTTTTTAACTAGAGGCACAATATTTGTTCTCTGTAAGGAGCAGAACAGTTTGCATTTTGGTTCTTTTCCTCTTGGATAAATCGCCTTAAGAAGAATGGATTGCTTGCGGTGCCCATTAAGATGAACAGGGTGGCTCTAAACTGCTCATTTGAACCAGAGCATCAAAAAATGTTTACTGTTCCCATTTTCCAAGAATGTGGGAAGCAAATAAATCCGGGGTATTTTTTATTCAGACCAACTTGGATCAAAACCAGACCCTTCCTATCAGGGCAAAACCCTGAATGTTCCGACAGCCCTTTTATTGGTCTCGAACAGTTTTCGGTAAATTAAACATTGACGAAACGGACCAAGTTAAAATCATCCCACCCCCAAAAAAACCGTTGGGGGGAGAATGTTATTTTGGTTCTAAGTTGGCAATTTTCAGCCAATCAGAATCGAGCATTTTACATGCATCGCTTAGCAAATTTAATGCGAATTAAAGGCTGGGGTGGAAGATCTTAACTTGGTCTATCTGGGGGGAGGATGTTAACTTGATCCGGCAAAACTATGAATTTTAGGCTAATAATATCAAACTTTAGGTGATAAAGTTTGAGTCGTGTAAAGAATCATTCTGACCAATTAGTTTATTGCCTCGATTCAATTTGGAACGACTTTGTAGTGCGGATAATTCACTACGTGTAAATATAAAAGGAGCAGTTTCAACAGCTTTGTGGATGGATTCTATAGTGGTTTGCAAATTCTGCTGGGCTCATGCAGATCAAGGGATCGATTTCCCAAGGAAGCAAAGTCTGCTGTTAAACTGATCTCAAAAAACCACCCCGAACATAGAAATAAAAAATTTGAAAAATGGATTATTAATAGTTTTTGACAAATAAATATAACCCAACGAAGTAATCAACCCAGTAATTGAGCAAAAACTGGTCTTGTTGTTTAAAAACACAAGAAAATGGGACTGATCAAAGAGAGGCCTTTTTTCTTAATTAAGCTTCGAACTGGTTATTCTTTATTTTTTTCCCGTTTTCTGCTCGGGATATCACCTCTGCATTTTTAAGTGAAAGTAGGTTTAAACTTCCTATAAAATAATCATTTCGAATTTTCATCAATTAGGAGGGGGGGAGGGGGAGGGGTGGTTATATTCGAAAAAACCCGCGAAAACATTTATTTGATCTGCGATATTTTTTTTTCTAGGATTTCGAAAATTACTAATTTGACCATACCCTGTTTATTTATACCTGGCAATCAATCCCGTACTCAAAATGTTCTAAATTGAATTGAAGCAAGCTTATTACTGATAATGATTCCCTATGAAACTCAACTTTTAATACTAAGCTCTTTTACAATGGCTGTTGGGGAAGAAAACAAAAGAATCGAACATAATGTTCTATTCCACAATATTTTGAGACCATTTACAAGGCAGTCAGAAAAATTAGGACAAGGCCATGATATACTAACAGTCTTATTGAATGTTATCCAAATTGAAACTACAATCTTCAAGTAATCCGAACAAGACTGCTCTCATTTTCTTTCGTTTTTTTGTTCCGACTTTTGTAACGAAAGTAACGGAATATTTGTGCTCGGGGTGAGTTTTTTTCTTCAGACAAAGGTCGATTTTTTGAAGAGCCATTTTTGACGGAATTTTCTAAAATCAATCGAAAGCTATTGTTATCCTGAGCTTAATATTGAAAAAACATTTCACCTGTGATCATTTTTTGTCAAGTTATGGGGGTTTAAAGTTTGCCTTTTCGGCCAATTTCGGACAATCAACGCGCGGTAAATTTCGCGCTATTAACGCGTAAGCGAAATTTAATCCGTATTAGAAATCGTTCCAAATTGATTCAAGGAAGTTTATATGTCATAATTGGTTTGTTAATAAGAGCAAAACCTATCACTTTGTACTTAATATGGCGTGTGGGGGGATGTTTTTCCCAAAAAAATTTTAATTTATTTTATTATATTTAACTTTTCATGTTCTTGCTGCTCCATAGACCTTAAAAGGCAGTCAGAACATTCAGGGCTTCGCCCTAATACGAGCAGTTTTGTCTTCATTTTATTACCCCACACACTATGTAAAACACAAAACGTATGTTTAGCGTCCCGAATTATTTTGATAGGACTAAAATTCTGACCTCAACCCAAATTGGAATGCCTAAATTTACCGCTTACGGCTGTTATAAAAACGCATTACGTCGCGCGTAAATTATCTTAAATTGCCCAAATTAGCAATTTTACAGCTTCTGTAAGTTTACGAAATGATCACAGGTAAAATAATTTACTTTGAGCTCAAGACAACAGTATCTCTCAATTGGTATGAATAAAATCCGCCATAAGTCTTTGGTTAAGAAGTCGAAAGTTCGCCCAATAAAAGTTTCGACTTAAAAAAGATTGTCCTCAGAAAACAACTGAAATAAAACTTTTTTTTTAATATTTCAAGAATCCTGAACATTCAGAGCTAATTTCAGCTTCAATCAATAACTACCCAATTTCAATTGGAACAATTCCGGGAGCCAAAATTGTCAAAACCTTTTTTAAATTTTATGAAGAAAACTGTTTGCTTTGATAGTTATCGCCTTTAATGCGTTAAATCAGCACTAAACTTTGACAGACTTTCGCACATTAAAAACGGCAAATGAAAGAAGCTCACTTTAGTTCTGTTATATTTCCCCTCCTTGCGCTAATCTACTTTCCCTATTTTTAGATACCAACTACTTCTCCCCTCCATATTTGAACTTCAATTTCTAATCTTTGCCCTAATGCAAGGAAAATCTAAATGGTCTTGAACAGAATAATACTATTTTGAACAGGTTTGTTCTTCATAATTGACAAAAAAAATCGATTTTGATCCGGAGCGCGCAATTAAGAAAACACTACTTTGTTCAAAACGGCATTGGTCAAAATAAGATTGGAGTGTGCTTGCAGAGCCCGGAAAACCAAATAAGTCGACCCATTAAAAATATACTACGCATGTTGCTCTTCGGGTTAAAAAAATTAAGATCTCAAAAACCTGAACCGATGAGTAAAGTTTTTCTCCGCTGGGAAGTCCTTGAAAAAAAAACAGTTTTAGAAACCAAGAATCGTTCACGTTTCTTTCGAGTAAATTTATGCTTTGTAATTGGAGAGGGTGTTTTGCATTCGTCTGACCACATGAGCTTGAACTGAACTTGACGACAAACAGAGAGGCAAAGCGGAGCTACGCTTTCCCTGCGATGCCACATAAAGATAGTATTGATGAAACAGCAGTTACAGCAACAATGATTCAAGATAACAAGCTGTATCAGTGACTCTGTTAGGCAAAGTGTTAACACGACAAAAAAGCCTATACTCCAATTTGATAAAGCTTACTAATCGCAAGCGTAATCAAAACTCAAACAGCAGAAGAGTATGTTTTTGCTCTTTCACGCATGTTTTTTCACGACAAGGCATGAATGAAAAATGAAATATTAGAACGCATGAATGAAAAAAGAAATCATTTGCATAGTTTCGCGCTTTTTTCCGGGCTCTTTCACAATTTTTTTTGCATCTTTCCCTCTTCATAGTTAGAACATAGTTGAAGATGGCCTCGGGCCCTCGGGCCAGACTCTTTTTCCCTCAGGCATCTTTTAAATATGTTCTAACTACTACAAAGGTCAAATTGAGGCCAACAATTTTTAAAACATTTCCAAAAAAACTTTAAAATTAACACAACTGATAAAAAATAGTCTTCACTACGTCCAATGACAAAAATATGAAACAAGACAAAGAAGTATGTCTTTCCCAGAAAAAAAAACAACTAACAAGTACTGACAACTATCATTTGAGTCTAGTAAGAAAATTATTGGAACCAATTCGCTTGCCTCAACTCAATTTCATTCAAATATAAGAGTGCTGTGGATTTTCAGTTTACTAGCCTCGCTCAAGGTAGTCACGATAACGCTCCGAGCACCATCAAATAAAGCCTAAACTTGCAAAATAATCATTCCAACAGATTGAAACAAAAGTCAAAATTCAAAAAAAAAATCAAATGACCGCAGGCTAATTCTGCTTACGATTGAGCTTAAATATTTTCACAACAGTTCAACATTGACTATCACAGATTAATTTTACCCGAAAACTTGCACAAAGTTTTGCTTTAAAAAGTGGTAGTTCGGTTGGAGAAAAAATCAGAGTGACGGTATGACAACATGTTCGCAAACTTGCTTGAGTAATATTTAACTATTGAACTTAAAAGCCCCTATTAGTAGCCAGAAATTATATCAGCCACCCGGAAAAAAAATCATTTAAAAACAGCAATGAAGGAAAAAATGAAATCAAAAACTTTCTACCTGACCAATATACATATCGCAAAATTACTAGACAACGTTACTAGTAAATTTCAGAAAAAGTAACTTAGATACAATAACAATTTTAAAATGATAATAACAGGCCACCATGACAAATCGAAACCAACGAAACGGTTTTTCGATAACCATTTTCAATTTTTTGACGTATAGAGAAACAAAACGAAATGAAACCCATTTTATTCAAAACTGTAGCATCTTCAATGATGGAAAATAATATACGAACAAACAGAAACCTAGCCAACAGATTTTTGATCAGAACAGTCATAGCCACCAGACAATTGGAAAAGTGATCCTGAACTCATAAAAATCAATAAAAACGACTCATAATCAATAGCAGATGCCGAATTGTTACAGAAAGATGAGGAAAAATTTTCAATATAAATGTATGAGTTATCTATCTACATGGTCAAACCTAGCCAAAAAAATTTCGTACAGAACAGAAAAAGCCAAAATACTTTGGGACAGTTGTCATTGAAATCACAAAAATCAATAAAAATTACTGACACACAACAGCAACTTTTTCAACACCTGAGATACTGAATGTTGCAGCAAGATTAAGAAAAACCGTCAACTTTGAATATATCATTAATTTAAATATAAGAATGAAAGAAAGTATTCGAAAAGTTATGGCGGAAAAACTTAAAAAAGTGAAAGCAAGAAAACTTGCTTTATAAAAAAAACTGCAGTAGCAGTCAATTTAAAAAAAGGCAAAGATGCAAGAAACTAAATGAACAGATAAAACTAACTTTTTACACAAAAAGAAACAACATTGATACTGTATCTAGATTATTAAAACTCAGATACAGTCAGTGAAAAAACAGCATGAAACTACCAGGAAGCCAGCAAAAACGAAACGAAGGAAACTGTTATTTGAGAAATGACTTCAATTTTTTCAAATAAAGAGAATTAAAACAGAAAATATACTTTTTTTATTTAAAACTGATGCTATGTAAAAGACAGAAATTAAATCAACGATGAAATAGAATCGCAGAGTTTTGACCATAGTTTCGACCAGAACAAAGATAGCCAACAGACAGCTGGAGAAGTGTCAACGAAACCAAGAAAACCTATGAAAACGACCAAATTTATTTAAAACATATCGGTAAAAAAACAAGTTACAATCAATATTGGCGAGCGTAAATTGCTCTAGTTTTAGCAATTGAGTTCAGATTGAACTTGAAAGAAATCAATAAGTCAAATTTGGGCGTTAGAAAAAATTCAAACTAAAAATATCGCCACCTATTTAAGTGCCTTCACATTGTCCACTGACTCTTAAGAAAGCCTGAAAAAAACCAGGAAAAAAGTTGAAAACAATGTAAACACAGAGGTGAAGCGGAGCTTCGCACTACTTGCGATACAAAACAAGAAAGTCGCTAAGTCCGACAAAAATTGAAAATGTCGACAAAATTAGATCTATTAAAATGAATAATGCTAGTTGGTAAGAATTTTTAAGACAATAGAATAAAAAACTAGCATCGGAACAAAATTATCAAGCGGTAACGAAGCCGAAAACACCTTAGCTGAAACTCTTTAAGCCGAAAAAAATGAACTGGAGTTGGGACGTATAAAAAGTCAAAACTTCCCCCTCGCCCTCGCCACAATAAACTTTATTTGCTCGTCATATGAAACAAAATGAGGCCACTAAGCCGATAAAATACAAGCCGAAAAAAATTCAAAAAAATTTATCAAGTCACCTTACCCGCAAAACACACCCACATACAAAACTGCAAACTTTTTCGCTCGTCAAAAGACGCAATATAAAGCCATTAAGTCGAAATCTATCAAGCGGGAAAAAAAGAAAAAAAACGAAAGAAAATTGTTGTCATGAAAATCTATCTATCATACATATCCAGGTTTTTTAGCACTTTGTTCAGTCTAGAGGGCACATCATCTGTGAGCAAAGATATTTACGGGAAAAATTCTAGTACCCTATTGCAATACCCTTGCTTATTGCAAGAGTAAAGACTCATAAAATTTAAGTTTGGTTATTTTGGAACCGTTTTTAGACAAGCTTACTCATACATAAAATATGATGGAAGCTTCAGTCACAATCTACCAATGGCCTGATTGTGGTACCTGAATATTATAGAACCTGTTTATACTAAAGCGAAGCTGCATTTACCGAGTCGGTTTGCCATATCTAAGAGAAAGCAGCATTGGATGCGTTTTAATTAAGCCGATACTGCTCAGGCTATTTAACATCACCAAACAGAAACTAAACAATACGCAGAAGTTACTCACATACATAAATGACAGAAAATGTTCGACTTACATCGGCTAAAATGATGGATTCGTATTATAACACAACTGATGCTGTTATATGTAAATAAACGCCCAAATCCTAAGTTTCTCCACGCTTTTTGATCCAAACAAGTTATTTCGCTTGCGTGAACTTAAAGAAATCTGCTTTATTCTTGAAGTCATGAATAAAACGAGTGAAATAGCTATGCTTTTTCCCACAGCGTAATTTAACATGGCGTGCATACTGTGCGGTCTCAAATTTATCTGAAAGTTTACCTCGCAGCTATTCATGGGGCATTTAAATCGCAAATTTAGTTTTCAAGCGATGAGATGAAGAAAAAGTTTTAGTTCTTTTGCAGTTTTCTCTGCAACTACTGGAGATTCAACGGTTGAAATTTTTACATATGCTGGATGAAATTTGGACATATGAAGGATAAAATATTCAAAAGAATTTAACCAGAAAAAAACTGCTAAAAAGTATTTTCAAGCCGTCGTTTGGGAATTGTTCCGATTTCCGAAGGAATATATAACCGCAGGGTGGTTTTTTTTATTCACACCAATTCTCAAAAATATTTCCATTGTAGAGTCGCTCCAGGGACCTTTGTGGTTCCAGAAGTGGCGCGGTCACGACTAAACTATCCTGGCTTAAGAAAGGCTCTGAAATGCTCACCATGAGACTAACATGACTATAAGAGCGCTGTGATACTTTAATGCTGAAAGTTTAACGCGCATTATTTACGCGTGGCGAATTATCCCGCACCTTAAAATCGTTCCAAATTCAATTAAGGAAGGCTAATTGGTCTTATTACTTCCATACACGGTTCTTGAAGCTCCGCTTGAAGAGCATACTTTGTCAATATTTTGATAACCAAAAACTATTCCATCCAGTTTATGGATAGTCGGATTAATTAGGGCGTTGCCCTGATACTAGTCTTGTTTTACTAAAGGGGAGATGTTCTTAGTGCCAAAAGAACCGGTAAACATCCAAAATAGTTTAAAAACTTTAAAACTACAAGTCATCGTTGGAAAGCTCAGGATCCAAGCTAGGCCCTTATGTAAATTTGGGCAATTTAGCTAGTAAAATACCAAAATCTGAATTCATTTTTTTGCGTAGCTGAAAAAAAACATACAAAACAGTTTGTACGAAAAGTCACTATCTCACATTTTTCTTATAAGAAAAAATTCCGATCTTGTAAAATTTCGAAAGCCTAATTTTTTAAAGAAGTTTCAAAATTCTTAGAAAAAAAATTCCAAGATTTTTGGTCAACAAGAGTTTTTTGTTTTCCTTCTTATGTGAATAAAATTTTACATAAGAGCCTAGCTTGGATCTATAGCTTTCCCACGAATACTTTAAACCCAAAGTTTTCAAACTGATTCTGCTGTTTACCGTATCTACTGTAAGTAAGAACACCTCTCAGGCGCCCTCTAGTAAAATGACCAAACGACGCCTTAGAACTATTTTTAACGTCTTTTATCCGGCTAAAATCTAAGGAAAATTTCATCCATCATATGCCAAAATTTCAACCGTGAATCTTTACGAGTTTTAGAGAACACGGCCGAAACTTGATCCACCACTTTAAAACTAAAAATTGCAACTTCTGTCCTTCGGATGTCTATGAAATCTTGTTTTCGAAATCTAATAAAAATATAGAATACTACGCAATTCGATTATGACAACTGTTATAACATAGTTTTTGAGTTATCTGCATAAGCATCGAAATGCAACTTAAGTTCACAAGTCTATTTGATGAAACTTTCTCGCTGTTAGTCGTAATAATAATCATCCGTCTCAATCGGTCGATTTAGCAGAAGTTTCGACAGTTCATTGATCACATCATCCAGAAGGGAACTGGCCCCGATTCGGAACATAGTCGGTTTAAGCCAATCAGATCCGAGATAAGTATCGACCAGGTGTATCCATTGACATGCATGTGTGAATGTTTTCAGTCCTCCTGCTGGTTTCAGTCCGACTTTTATCTGACCATTGGTAAGTCTTGAAAAGATTCTGGGTGATTCAGACATCGAATTTGGCCTATTTCGATCATTTTTTTTTTAAAAAGACGGATTTACTGTTCCAGTGAAATGGGTCAAAACTTAGTGTTGAGGATTTTACTTAGCACGAGCAATCGTCCATTTTTTGCGTGCGATGCAACTATCTTAAGTCATTTTAGTATTCAAAAAAACTAAAAAACATCTAAAATTTTATCAGATTGTCGCAAAAAAACGAAAAAACTTGAAACAACTGTCTTTGAAGGTAAAATTACAGCCTACTATACAAAAAAAGCAAAAACATGGGTTTATATTTAGTTGTTCGATGCCTTTGGTAGTCTTTGATAGCTCTGCACATTACAATGCCTACGTGAAGGGTGGCATTCACACTCTCCTTTCCGGTGGACGTTTTGATGAAGTCACTGCCAGCCAACATGGCTACCATAGAAGCCTGCAAAACAACAGAAGATATCAAAAAAGGACAAAGTCTACAAGTCTTTAAAGCAAGAGAGATATAAGTCTATATATATCAAATGGTCTGGGAAGAACGAGAGAGCTAATCTCAGCAACAAATATAGAATGATCATACGCAGTATACATTTATTTTCTTCCAAATAGTTTGAGATGGTAACTTCCCAAATGGCATAATTCCCAAATGGCATAAAAATGGAAACTTTTCCCAAATGGAATAAATTTCAAGTTCGTAATTTAAACGTTTTCTATCAATTTCTATTTCTATCATTTTGACAGAAACGAAAGCATGTGAACAAGATTTGGCATTAATTGCTTCCAAACAAATTTAAGCAACAGATTTGTCGAAAAAAATTGACCACAAGAAGCTTATTAATAATCAAATAATCGCAAGCTTATGCTTCTTGCTTTTGATAAAAAGTTCGACAAGTTTTTGGCGATAAAATGTCAATCAACATTTGAATTGACAATTTGACTAACTTTCTCACATTGTTTACGAAAAAATTGTTCCCGATTTTTCCAAAGCAACTGTTGCATGAATTTATGCCATTTGGGAAATTTTTCATTTTTAAGCCTTTTGGGAATTATGCCATTTGAGACATTTGAGATATTTCAAATCGTTTGAGATATTTCAAAAAATAATTCTCCAGAAAAAAACGAACTTAAATTAAGATATAAAGAATACATTCTCAATTTTAAAATTATGCCAAGAACAAACACTGTGACAAAATTCGTTTTCAGACTTTTCTTGACCAGATTTTTTCTTGACTAGGTTTTCTTTAAATTTTGCGACAACGGCAAAAGAGTCAATGAACGAAAAGAAACAAAAATATCGCCTCAAAGATGTTTCAATCTCAGAAATCTTCCATAATTAACAATTTTCTTATGAAACTTTTAATTATTTAAAAAAGGTGGATCAATCGTTATTTTTCATTACGCTGGGAAAAATAAAAAGTGAAATCAACTTATAAACGTAATGTTCAATCAAATTGCTATCATTTTTGCTGTTGTAAAGCGTAATTTACATTCCATTAGGCAAATGATTTTCAAGTAACTCAACATTGCCAAAAAATAATGGTTAATAATTAAAAGTAACAGGTTAAAACTTTGAATTTCATTTTTTTTTTCAGTTTGACCCTTTTTTGTTTCAATTAAATCAAATCAATTAGAGAAAACTGGGTTAAAAATTATTTATTCAACCGGGAATTGTGGAACGTGGAATCAACTTTTGAAACTTAACATTGGACAGTCATAGTAAAAAAAGGCCAACTGCAAAACAGTTTTCCTAGAAAAATGACTAAAGAACAAAAAAATATATGTTAAAAACAATTTAAAATAATTTCAATTTCTTTTCCTTTTTTTGAAACATTTATTTTTTGAATTTTCGAAGTTTTGGATAATCACAACGGCGCTAAAAAATTCCAAAACTAACTTTACTTGAATAAAACTACGTTTTCACGGCTTAAAGTGAGCATAAATAAGCTATTGTAAGCCTGCACCCTCACCTTATTATCTCAAAATAAGAACAAAAAAAACTTCAAACAAGTTTTTCTCGACACCGGGAAATTATTTTCAAGATTTTTCAAATTTGTTCAAATCACGACTAAAAATGCTTTAGTATGATATATCACTTGTCACATTCTGATGATTATTTGGGGTACCTGATTTTGCGTGGAAAACAAAAAAACTAAAACACACCCGAATAAAAGGTTCCTCCCCATAAATCAAATGGCCGGAACAAAAACACCTATATAACTGATTAACTTGTTTCACTAACACACATACATGAGCACACGAACAAATTTCAAGACGTTTTCTTTAGTTTAAAAAAACACAAAAAAAACGACAAAAAATTGTTTGTTTCTCGTTATTTAGAAAGTTCCCATCACAGATTAACTTGAACAATAAATTTCTTTTTCACAATTTAAATTTTTACCGATTTAGATGTCAGTTGTCTTTTGCAAAAGTAGCAACGAAGATTGACTAACTCAGCTAAAATAACGTTTTATAGATAGCTTCTATCAAGGAAGAAAATCTTCGCAGAAAATTTATTCCATTACAAGGTTGGATATTTTTTTGCTTCGAGGTTACTATCGCGCGCTTCTTTTCACTTCAATATCTAAAAAAAAATAACCCGCCTTTATCAAAAAAAACTATATTGCGCTTTGATAATTTTTCGATACATCGATTGGGGTATTCCTTTTATTCATGCAAAAAATAAAAAAAAATTATATTCAAAATACCTAACAAACTGAAGCCCTCAACTGAACATTGTCTGTTGGAAACATTTTTGACTTAAAAAAAGAGAAATAAAAATAAAGAAACTAAAAAATTTAAAACGAGGCCACTAATTCGATAAAATATCGGCTGAAACCTATTAAGCCAAAAAAAAGTTTAAAAAAAGCCAAACATAATTTTAAAAAATTGAAGACAAATGAAACATTAGTAAGCACCCGTCAACCTCAAACTACAAACGCATAGACAATTTTTTTCTCGTCGAAAGAAGCAATATAAGACTATTAAACCGATATAATATAGGCCGAAACCAATCAAGCCGAAAAAAAGATCAATGCCATGAACCAATCAAGCCAAAAAAAAAATGCCATGAAAAACTTGAAAAACAATTTCTCTTGAAGTTTAAGAAATTTGTGCGATCCAGAGCTGAGCATAAAACTACGTTGTAGGTGAAACTACTCAATATTAGATCACTAAGCCAATAAAACACAAGCCGAAATCATTTGAGCACAAAAGAGTTTTAATCGAAAAAAAAACGAAGTCAAGAAATAATAAACAGCCGAAAAAAATCAAAACACTAAGAGCAACTACAATATAAACTGCGGATCGAAAAAAAAACAATTATAAGATGTGGCAACCAAGCCGACAAAACATAAGCAGGCAAACAATAGGCCAACAACTTTTTTTGAAAGAAACTAATTCCCGTTTGAAGAAAAAAACAGGTCCAGTCAGGTTCGAACTTAGGATCTTTGCAGTACCATGCGTATCCGTTATCGCTAGAGCAAGTAAGCCGGAGACGCAAAAATTTTGGATTTATTGTGATCTGAATTTAAACTTACCATTTCTAACTCATTTGCGTGCGAGGAAAAAGTCTAATACCCGATTGCAATACGCAAGGGTAGTAAAAGAATCAAAGACACTTTCATTTACAATAAAATTACCTTAAAGCACAAGAAAGGTAAGAAATGTAGAAACTATGCCGATAAAACATGAGCAGACGACAACTGATAGGAAGATGATTTTTTTGATAATAAACGCTTTGGCTTCAAGAAAATAAACAGGTGATGACCGCATTTGAGCCTAGGCCGTTAGCCGACAACTAGTTTTTGTAGCCAAAAGGTAAGTTTAAATTATCAAGAAATTGAGCATGTTTCCTGCAGAAATATATGGTTCAATGATTTAGTGATTTTGATAAAAACTAGTTGTAACCCGAAAAAATTCTATATTCCGATTTGATAACGCTTGCTAATCGCAAGCGTAAAGAGCATATAAGCAGTGCACAGAAAACAGAAAATAAATTAATTGATTCTGATGTTTTTTGTATGCTCATAGCCTCAAAAAACCTGTATACATCATTAAAAATACAAACTCGTCAATCCATCACCAAAAGTTGCCCATAGTCAAACCATGGGTGGTATTAACATTCCCGAAGTGCTTAAAATAACGAATCAAACAGCTTAATTAAGAAATTCAATTTAAAAAACCAAAACTAAGCCAACAAACCGTTAAAAACAGTAAAAGAACGCAAGTAAACAGGAAAAAATTAGTGACTTTTTTGAAAAAATCTCAACTTCCGAGTTTCGGCAAAAACTAGATAGGTTAATTTTTATTTCACGTTTTTCGTGATATTTAGTTTTTCACTGTTTGATAATAGGAAAAGTTAAGAAAGGAAACGAACTGAACTTTCAAAGAAATCAAAAGTCAAACATAGAAAAAGTAAATTTGAGCCTGAACAAATTTTAAGACTTCTCAAAAAAAACTTAAAAAAATCGTCACAAATTGAAATTCACTCATACGAAACAATCTTACCAAATCACACAAGTATTATCTCGTATGCTTATAAAAAGTTCAAATGAGCGGTATGTGACTTGTTGCTCATGTGAGCTGTATGAGCGTATTACTTATCAAGGACTTTAGCTGCGAGAGCAAAAACTGTATCAAGAATTCATAATCAAGGTTTTTACAAGACATTTTTTGAAAATCAAAAAGTTAACAATTGATATTCTTGTAAAGCTTGCAAATATAAACTTTTATTTATATTTCTTTTAGAGTTGTTTTTTTTAATCTTAAGTGACAGACATTTAAAAAAGTTGGTGAAAGATTAAGTGATTTTAGACTGAATACTGACCTTATACACATTAGAGAGTGATCCCAATTCGCCAGTGGAGAGAATAGTCTTCATACACGCTCCTCCCTCCTCGCACACCTGTTTGCACAGTCTAATTTCATCGTACAGTTGTCGCCATTGGCCACTCAACACTAACTTTCGCTGGATCACAATGTCAATCTCATCCGCACCTTCAGCCACTGCGTATCTGACGACCACACAAAAATGAGATCAAGGTGGCCAGGGAGAGGGTGGGAGGGGATCAAAATTGGGGTGGGGCAAAAATAGGAAGGGGGAGCAACAACCAATTAGATCAAAAATTTATTGCTTTGAATAAAAGAAATGGGCGAAATCCTGGTAAAAGCAGTTATCTGCATGTCACGGTTGTGTTTTAAGTACACTTGGGCAACTGAACACCACATTTGAAAAATATTGTGTCGACAAAGCAAAATAACTGCGAAGCCTGAAAATTTTTGTTAAAAATCATTTCTCAAGTCGCAAATCTAAAGCCAAAAAACACTAGAAAAAGTTAAACTTTCGAATAAATAAATGGAGGATTTAGTTTTTATGGCAAAAAATGCTTCTTTAAACCTTAATACAAAAAAAAACTCAATTCGATTCTTCGGCCTCCCGTTTCAAAAAAAAATCTTGAAATACCTAAGAGTTCACCTCCCTTTCTCCACCCCTCTCACCTTATTTCCTCCAGGCGTGACTTTAACCCGAAAAGTCCAGTCGGGAACCCAGTCGCAACAGCCGCAATGCTCGGTCGACGAGTTGCGCTTTCATCGAGATCCAATGAACTTTTAACGTAACCAACACATGCTGGATACACACAAACTGCAGCACATTTCACTTTTCCGCCATCGCGATAAGTATCCAACGATTTCTCAAGTTTGTTCGGAATCGGGTTGATAGCCGAATAGCACAAACGATTGACATTAGCTTTCGAATCATCGCCGGCAAGAGTTGTCAAATCGATAAACTCGATTGTGTTTATCAGCCAATCAAGTCTATCTCTGGCTTTGGTGAAGTCTTCTGATTGGTTAAAAAATTGAGGACTACTAACTGTTAGCACAATGTGATTGGCTAATTTTTCGACACATGAAGGTGAAACTGAGGTACTTTCAAGATATTTGGAGTCAAAATCAAGTCCAGGATTCATTGAAGGCATTTTAAGAAATATTTTTGAATGACTAATTTGTCTTTTCCAATGCAAAATTAGCAGAGCAGTAACTGATATTATATGAAATGAAGGATCAGTTACGATCTCAGATTAGTTTGGAGTCGTTTCACTGATTTGATACAATTGGTCTGACGAGTTCAACTACTGATTAATTAGTCAATAACTTATGCAGATATGAAACACATATCGCTTACATTCAACCAACTGAAAATGAAAACCCGAATCTACACCTCTGCCTACCAATTTCGAATCAACTGTGATTTAGAATGACTTCAATAAGGTTAATCTACAATTGACAGCTCATATAAAAAAGTATAGACATAGTTTCTGAAGCTAAATCAGTAAAAATCAGTCATGTTTCAATAAATGAAAGATAACATAATCCATGATGGAGTTAAAACAAAACAGATATAAGAGCGTTGCATTAAAGAAAAATCCGAAGATTTATATCATAAAATGGAAATATTCGGTACCAAAGGGTAAGTTTTTGGAAAGTATTGATATATTTTCCTGTCCACACCAACTCGTTACTTATATATGATATTTGAAAAAAAATTTCATATACATTTGAGCTTTAAAAATCTTTAAAATTTGAGAAGTTTCTGATAAGAAAGAAAGGAAAAAATAGTAAGTATCGATATACTAAAATGAAACAAGAATTATCGGTTGCTGAGCAAGAAGCACATAAAGTTCCAACCACACTCATTTCAAAAAACTAAATAATTTTTTGCAACTGTTTTGTTTATGATTTTTACAATTAGGCTTCTCTAACTAGAAGAAAGCTACAGCAGCTGTTTCACACAGAGGCATAAATAAGAAGTTGAAAAAATGAAAACTATTTTTAAAAAATTAGGTCTACCAAAAATTAAAACTTCGTGAGTCTCGATAGAAATTCAATTTAGGCAAAGCTTCTAGACATTTGAATATTAAATTAGCACCAGAACGAAGCTTACAAAGAGGAAACAAAGCCGACAACCTTTTGAGCAATCACAAAGGGAGCTGAAAAAAAGTGAACTACAATTGCACTTTCAACTTCAATGAATGTTGCGTACCGAACAAAAACTATCCGTGATAAAGCAACAAAGCCGACAATCTTTTGAGCAAACACAAAGGAAGCTGAAAAAATAATAATTTGACTTAAAAAATGAAAAATTTTCAAGTGCCCATGAAAATACATGGAACAACACATGCATTACAACTAAAATGAACGTTGCTTACAGTACAAGTAAACTCCGTGATGTTGCAACTAAGCCGACCACTCTTAAGCAGACAAACAGAAGCCCGACAATTCATTTTGTACAGAAAAATTTACAATTGCATACATACTGTAAAAAAAAGTCCGACCGGGACTCAAATCCCTGATTTTACGCAGCTAAGGCCACGATGTTACCTCTAAGCCAATTGGGAACGAACATATAAGTTCTTTCAAAAATAAAGCAAGCAAGAAAAACAAGAAAATTATTTATGGGAAAAAATCTAGTTCCCGATTATTAAACACTTGCTTTCGCAATTGTAAGCAAAGCAACAACAGCTGACATTTTCGAAAAAAGATTAACACAATTTTTTTGAACTTTCGAAAATGAAGAACAAAAAAAACATACGCCAACTTTTCTCGACATTGAGACAGCTTTTTTTCTCAACAATGAGACAGCTTTTTTGGATTCTTTTTGTAATCGGAATCACGGATGCGGTGCTTGATTTTGCGTAGAAAAAAAATCACCCTGGGCAATAGTTTTTTTAGCATTCCTTAGAGGGTGGTTGGAACAATAGCTTTATGGTGAGATTACAGCTAAAATGGGTTCATTTCAAACTTTACATACCTGCCACACGATATAACGTCACTTTGTCGGAAACCTATGATGATTAGATGACCATTGACTGAGATTTACAAAATCCTGAATCACAAATCCATTTTAAACGATATTGTACAAATAAAATATTCACACAAAATGAAAACGTTATGAAGTACTGAAAACATTCAACACAAAGTTGCACGATATGAATCACTTGACTCACCCTATTCGTTGTTGTTCCATAGTTGTGATCTGGTCGGCCCTCTTCAGAACCGACTGTATGGCTGCCATCTCCCCCTCACTGATATTACTCTCATAGGATGCACCCCCTCCCCCACCACACGATGAAGGGGGTCTACCAATCGGTTCCCCAAAACCCCCGTCGAATCCGAAATGATCGTCATGGGTAGCCGAAGCAGCATCGGGAGAATTAAACGTCGACGAGCGTCGTTTGTCGGGTCTTGAGTTGTAGCGCGAGCTGAATCTGCGCGTGAATGAAAATGGCTGGGACGATCGGGATCTTTTGTGGGTCCTCATGGACCAACCAGTTCCAAGCCTACAAATTGCAAACAAGAATAGTTCGGTTGCTTTTTAAATCTAACTGAATTTTCTCATTTCAATTACTTTTTCATTTTTTTTGGCTTTCGTTAATTTTTTGCGGTTCAGTCAAAGGAAACAGTTAGTTATATATCATAAACAACAAAGCGCTTATTTATTTTTCATCTTTTTAATGTGTAACAAATCAAATCCTGAAAATTGATACCAATATAGAGGTGATTGAGAACTTCAAAAAATTATGCGAATAGATTAGGTAAAATTTGAAAACTGCTATGATTTTAAACTTAAGTTACCAGTAAAACAACGTCCGGGAACTATGAAATTTAGATACTATTATCTTCCAAGCAGTTACAACTTTATTCCAAAACTTTGTGGCAAAAGGGTAGATCAAGCTGAAAGAAGCTTTACAGACAACTGAAAAGCCAATTATTGTTTTAAATATACCATTTTAATATATATTTTTTCGATTGCTTTTTGAAAGCCATGCCATCCCCCACACGCTACGTAAACAGTAAAATGATATATTAAGCATACAAAAAATAATTAAATAGACCATATAGCACGCCTCAATTGAATTTGGTTCGATTTCTAAGACGGCCTAAGCCTTGCTCACGCGTTTATTGCACGAAATATATCGCGTGTGAATTACCCTAATTGGCAAATTTTGAACCCCCGTTATAATGTTCATAGGCTTTAAGGTTGTAAAATGAAGCATAACATGAACAAATTTAATAAGGCTTTTTTTCGGGAAATGTTTTTAGGTAGAAAAGTGAAATTTGACGTGAACAAGTTTCCAGACTATTTTTCAAAGTCGGAACAACAACGCGTTGACACATAGTCAACGAGTTTAAGCGCATACGGTATCAAATAAGGCATGAACAATTATTAGAGCTTCGCAACAGGTATTAACCTAAATAAACCAAACCACACTTGCAAAAACTCGCCAATCGATACCCTCTTTTTACGAAATAATTGAAGGGTCAAAAACATGAAAAAAGTAAAGAAAATGTGGAAAATAAAAATCCTATGAGCCGGATTCTAAACCGCGACATCGAAATTAAAGTGAGAACTCCAAGCGTCTAGGCAATTGCCGCTTAACAATAGTTAAACACGAAGAGCCCAGATGAAGCACGATATACCTGTTTGTTATTTTTTTTAAAAGTATTGATGCAAAAGATAATCCGTTATTTACCAGAAATAGCCAAACTGTCACAAATGGGACATTTACCACGACCATAGCGGATTTCTTGTCCAAATTGGAAACTTCGCATAAGCAGAGACCTTTACAGCTTGTTCTTTCGAGCCTCTAATCTCAAATTTGACATCGTCGTTTTCCAGAAAATCAAAAAACTTCCAAACGAACAAAAAATTGCGTGATCAAACATTGCTTTTCTACGAAAAGTAGAGCGTAGCCGCTATAAAAAGTTGATCCGATTGAACCCTTAATCGTAGATTTGGCACAGCTGTTTTCGAGAAAAGTTAAAAACGATCCAGAAAACGGTCAAAATTTCCAAACATGAAACTTCCAAAAAACATTATAGCTTATGTGCAAAAACTAGAACGTAGCTGTTATCCAAATAAAATCGTAGCACCCGTTTTTAGGATTGCACCATTTATTTCATTAAATATGACATTTTCAAATAATTTTTTACAAAAAAAACTAGGACATAGCTGCTTATGCACTTTTTACCTCTTGTTTTTCCCATTTAATATTTTATCTCATATCTGGCAGAGAGTTCGGAATACACAACGAATAGGGCAACATAAGTTATTAAGTAGAAATTTAGAAACTATTTTATTTCCATTAGAACATTAAGCTCAATTTGGCAGGGTAATTCTTGAACGAAAGAAAAAATTTCCAAGGAAAAAAATTTCCATAAACGGTCAAAATTTGGACATTTTCTGAAAAAAGAATTTTCCCATAAAATTGGGGCGTAGCAGCTTATACAGCGGACATCCCCAGAAAACGCTTTTTTGATTGAACCCATTATCTCATAGTTGTCATGATAATTTTCGAGTTAATAAAAAACTCTCAGAAGAACTCCCCCACTGAAACTGTCGAAGGTCATAAACGTCTGGAGAAGTTAAAAAATACTAGCGGAAAATTGGTGCACACAGGGGAGTAGTCTCTTCATCTGTACCACTTTCTGAAAATCGGTTAAAATTTCGAGAAAAAAAAACTTTGCGAAGAAGGCAAACATTTTTCAAAAGCATGTAAGAAAACCAAATCCCATATATTTTCTTTATACCTAATTAAACTAGAGAGAGTAGCCACCAGCAAAACAGATTCTAAAAAATCTAATGGTATGGAGCAAAGTTAACCGATATAAAAAATCAAAGGTGCCACCAAACAATGATCACCTATATTTGCGATTTAGGTTAGAAAAAAAAATAATACCGTAAAATGACACTAGGCTCCGCATGTGTAAAGAAGGATAGCCGGTTCCTAAGCAACTAGCACAGCAAGTTTAGACCATAGTGAAAAAAATATATTTATAAAATGTTTTTCTGTGTGAGACAATACTTAGCCTAGAACAAATATTTTTGCTTTCAACCAACTATCATATTCAATTAAAAATTCCAAAAAATTCCAGTTGCGTTCTTGAAAAACTTATTCAATTTTTGTGAAGGTTCCGTGGTGAAAAAAGCAAAATGAAACTTCAAAACTGCTTAATTCAGCTGAAAACTCATTTAAAAAAGTTATATTGATAATTCTACAATTTACGCTTTATTCGCATGAAATTTGATTTAAAAAAAAAACAAAAATCGGGAATCATTTTTTTCTCGACACTGAGCACTCTTTTTAGAACAGTTTTAAAAAATCCCACATTTCTCTTGAGGCTTCTTTAGAAAAAGGCTCCATCCCATTATAGCCCTCCTTCCATTCCTTGCAGAGTGACAGAGTGGGCCAGATTAGGCAAGTATGCGCGAGGATTCCAGAGCATCACTTTTACTAAGCATTTAAGTAAAATTTAGTAATTCAATAGACATCGCTCGGTTTTTCCACACTTTTTGCACCGACAAAAATTGCTTCATTTGCTCTAACTTCTGTTTTGCCCTGACGTGACCCTTTTTTAGCTACCCTGGCTGGCCATGTCATGATCTGCCTTGCCCTGCCATGTTCTGCCCTGCCTTGCGCTGCCCCGCCTTGCCCTGCGCTGCCTTGCCCTGTGTTGCGCTGCTCTGCTTTTTTGACTGCTCTGCCTTGCTTTGGGTTGCCCTGCCATACTCCTACTTGCCCTGCCCCGCCTTGCCTTTCTTTCCGCTGCTCTCCACTGCCTTGCTCTGCTCTGCATTGCCTTGCGCTTTGCCGTCCTGCCTTGCGCTAGAATGATTTGCACTGCATTGTCTTCCGCAGCTGTGCCTTGTCTTGCGCTGCCATTGTCCTCATGGGCTCACCCCTCCTTCCGCTGTACTGCCTTGCCTTGCCCTGCTTTGTTTTTTGTTTGCTCTGATGTGCTTCTTGCCCTGTCTTGTCTTGCGGTGTTCTGCCTTACGCTGCCGTGCCCTCCATAGCTTGCGCTGCCGTGCCTTGCGCTGCCTTCCCTGCCCTGTACCCTGCTCTGCCTTACGCTACCCTGCTCTGCTCCTTATTGCCTGACGGTGCCCTTGCTTGCCTTACGCTGGCATGTCCCTCTTTGCCTTGGGCTGCCCTGACCTGCGCTTTAACTTCAAGACAATCTGTCTAGGCAATTGAATTTGACCTTTTCAAGCTCGCTCTATCTTGAAATTTTAATGTGCTAACTGCAACGTTTTTTTAACGTTACGAGTGGTCAGCTGTTAGGCATGGATCCCATAGCATTTGAAAACGACTTAAAATTAAATATAAGATGGCTCATTTACCACAAGTTGGAAAACTTTTTCTTTCTTTATACATTTGAATGCCCCCTCAGCAACTGTCAACTAAATAAATTCCAACCACAATTCTCACAGCAACAGAAAATCTAATTTACCAAACTTTTGGGGGCGTATTCTCATGATGAAGGGAAAACTTTCAACCAATTAGAATCTCTAGACGCTCCTATTGGCTAAATCAATTTTGGACAAAATCGAAGTCATTATTAATAATAAATGAATTATAGAAGCACAGCTAAGTTTTCTGTTAAATTGGTGAAAATATACAATTTATGTTTTATAGTTTTTATTGAAAACCCGACTTCAATTTCGCAATTATTTAAAAATTCATGTGTGTGCTTAGTTTTTCTAATCGCTGTATTAACTTTATTGGCCTCGATTCCTTCGCTTTCTTAGAGATTTTTGCGATATACTTAAAATTTTTGAAAATTCGATTCTGATTGGCTGAAAATAGCTTGAAACAAATTTCCAACATTCTGTCCCAGCATCATTAGGGACACCGCCAAACTGTTTATAAATCTTTTCAACATGTTTCACTAGGTGGCATCCCTCGCAATAAAGAGACCGAATGTTGGAAACTTCTTTTTAGTTATTTTCAGGCAACGAGATTTGAGTACTCACAAATCTCAAAAAATCGCAAAAGTCTCAAATAAGGCAGATAAATCCAGTTCAATAAAATTAACATTGACCGATTAGAAACAAAAAAGAAGCAGATACATGAGTTTTCAAGTATTGTGAAACCGATGTAGGTATTGGACAAAACCTTAAAACTAATTTTCAGGAATAAAAAATAACACAAACGCGCTGCTATAATTCATTCTCTGTTAGTAATGATTTCGGTTTTGTGCAACCGCCCTTTAGCCAAAAGGACAAAAGGAACATCTAACGATTCTGGTTTGTTCAAACTGTTCCATTACTCGATCCCTCTATCATGATTATACCCTCTCTTTTCGCCCCTTCAAAGGAATGAAACTGCTTCTTAATTAGATTAGAACATTAGTTAGCCGAACTTTTGAACAATCAGAATGCAGCAAAAATAAATTTCTGAGACGCTTAAGGTCGAAACAGCAAAACATTAGCAAACAGAATTAAACTTCAAGTGACGAGCGCAAGTTTCGATAATTAAAAAAACTGTTTTAACTT